AACCTGGGAGGCAAAGGTTGCGGTGAGCCAAGATTGCACCATTGAACTCCAGCTGGGCAACAAGAGCAAAATTCTGTCTCAAAAATAAAAGTGCTTGGGGCTGGGCGCGGTGGCTCAAGCCTGTAATCCCAGCACTTTGGGAGACTGAGGCAGGTAAATCACGAGGTCGAGAGATCGAGACCATCCTGGTCAACATGGTGAAACCCCGTCTCTACTAAAAATACAAAAAATTAGCTGGGCACGGAGGCGGGTGCCTGTAACCCTAGCTACTCAGGAGGCTGAGGCAGGAGAATTGCCTGAACCCAGGAGGCAGAGGTTGCGTGCGGTGAGCCAAGATCGCACCATTGCACTCCAGCCTGGGTAACAAGAGCGAAACTCCGTCTCAAAAAAAATAAAAAATAAATAAAAGTGCTGATCAGAGCTACTATTGGCCTTAGATAACCAAAAATAAATAATTCCTGCTAAAAACAAGGATACTTGATGTTTTAATTTAGCCTCTGCTGGTTTATTAAAGATGAAATGAAATATCCTTTAGGTTGTAGAAATACAGTTGACTCTTGAACAACACAGGTTTTAACTCCCCGGTTCACTTACATGACAATTTTGCCTCTGCCACCCCTAAGACAGCAAAACCAACACCTTCCTTTCCTTCTCCTCCTCCTCTTCCACTTACTCAACATGAAGACCTTTATGATGATCTACTTTCACTTACTGAATAGGATATTTTAATATGTATATATATATTTCCTCTCTTTTATGATGTTCTCATTATTTTCTCTAGCTTACTTTATTGTACAAAATACAGTATATAATACATATAAAATATGTTGATTTGTTTATATTATTGTTGACCAGGCATCTGGTCAACAGTACGCTATTAGTAGTTCTGAAACACAGAATTTTTATTTGCAGGGTTGGGGAGAGCTGCTTAAGGGTCAACTGTATCAAAAGTAGTTGATGAACCCCATTCCCACATTTGCCAAATCCCTAAGGACAGGATCCTGGGCTGGAAAGCAGAAAATTAAGGGCTTGTTTCCCTTGGCCACACTCTGGCACAATGTGTAACTTCAGAGACTGGCTGACCCATCCAGTCCCTGGAGCCCAGCAACTGCAGGAGCAGCCCGCAAAAACCCCACCATTACTCCATCCAACTGCAGGGCTGGGTCTCCGGGGCACCTGAAGAAAGGTTTCAACTATGACTGCAGCTGGATAAGGACTTGCACCTGGCACAGAAAATGCCTGTCTGTCCCCAACTATAAATACTATACTGGTATTCCTCTGAACCAGGCCAGAAAACAAGGCAAAGGGCTCCAGACCAGAGGCCAGCAAGTCCCAGCTATGGCTATGGCTGGTGCTGCAGCCCCATGCTGACGTCTGCAGCTGCCTCCCCTCCACTTGGACATGGTCTGCACTGGGCTGGGAACCACTGCCAAAATTCTGTCAGGCCTGCAGACTGGAGAGGCTGAGGTGTGGCCACTGCATATACCCTGTCCTTCTTGAAAGCAGAACTTTCCAAATGCACAGACCCAGCAAAAGGAAGGCAGGGTATGGGGAGCTGACCCAGGTAGGGCTCATTTTGTGGACCTGAATGCAGGGACAGAAGGCATGCCCCCTGATGCAGGCCACCCAGTTATATACAAAAGGAAGACGCCAATGTAAATGAGTGAGTTGGTGGCAGAGGCCTACACTGTGAACCGGCTGCCTTCAGAAGGGATGGAAAGGGGTATGTTCCATGGCAATGAGCATGTGCATCTTTTTATAAGCCTGGCATTCCAGGGGTTCTTAACGAGAACGGTTAGTTTACCACTACCATCATCCACCATAATTATCAAATCATTGAGCCTGGACAGATAGCATGGCCATGAAGCATCAACATGTACTTTACATTGAACCAGCTGTATAACAAAAGGACCACCAACCTTCTACTAGCCACTACCATTCCTCTCCCACACTACCAAATTTCCATAGCCTGGGCTAACCGTTTGGTAACCTATAAATATTGACCTTAATTCTCCACCCCCAGCTTCTTGACGGAGGCCTGTACAGACTTGTGACTTGACAGACACGCTTTTTAATGGCGTCTGTGAACACTCTCTTCCTCCTTCCTTTCTAACCAGAGTTCAATGTAGATTTTTTTTTTAAACAGAGACAGGCTCTTGCTTTGTTGCCCAGGCTAGTCTCCAACTCCTGGGCTCAAGCAATCCTCCCAGCTCAGCCTCCCTAAGTGTCACAATTACAGTCATGAGCCACCGTGCCTGGCCTGAACATATATATTGTAGATGAAATATTTGGTCTTCTAGGGCTTTTAAAGGCTGAATTGTAGCCCCCATCCCCAAATGTATATGTTGAAACCCTAACCCCCCATCTCAGAATGTGACTTTATTTGGAGACAGGGCCTTAAAAGGGGTAAGTTAAATGAGGCTATTAGTGTGGGCCCTAATCCAATTTGGTCACATTGAGGCACACCTGCGATGCCTGTGCAGAGGAAAGGCCAAGTGAGAACCAGTGAGAAGGCCATCTGCAAACCATGAGAGGCCTCAAGAGAAACCACACCTGCCAACACCTTGGATTTCCAGCCTCCAGAACTGCGAGAAAACAAATTTCTGTTGGGTTAAACTACCCAGGCTATGGTACTTTTTTGCAGCATCCTGAGCTGACTAATATGGGGCCAGTTGTCCAGGAGCCTCTGGACAACTGAGAGGGACTAAACTAAGCCAGAATCCAGAACTACACTGTCCAATATGGTGGGCACTAGCCACATGTGTCTTTAAATTTTTTCTTTAAAATTAAGTAAAAGTTTAAAATTCAGCTCTTTACATGCAGTAGATTAGGGCATTTGCATCCTATGGAACAATGCTGGTCCAGAAAAGAAAAGGCTCTAAATATGAGAGAACATCCAGGAGAAACTTTTCCAACCCAGCTCTCTCAAGGAGGAAGGGAGGCAGTAACAAGAGCAAACAGAGTGAGCATACAGACACCTGTTACACAATGTCAAGAAAAATATTTAAATAGGGCTCTTAAAGCTTTTATTGGGCATTATATTTATGTGAAGGTAATTCATCAAGCAGTCTTCTAATTCTGACCTGAAAAGCAACACTTTTTTTTAAATTAATGCAGCACAAAATTATGTACTCAAGCAAATAGCACTTATGGAGTACTTACAACTCAGGAAGACACTTTGATAGGTACCATACAGGGGCAAAGAAGAAATTCCAAAGCATGTTTTTGCCTCAGGGAGTAAAATGCCGGCCGGGCGTGGTGGCTCATACCTGTAATCACAGCACTTTGGGAGGCCGAGGCGAGGCGGGTGGATCACGAGGTCAGGAGATCAAGACCATCCTGGTCAACATGGTGAAACCCCATCTCTACTAAAAATACAAAAATTAGCTGGGCGTGGTGGCGCAGCCTATAGTCCCAGCTACTCAGGAGGCTGAGGCAGGAGAATTGCTTGAACCCAGGAGGTGGAGGTTGCAATGAGCCAAGATTGCGCCACTGCACTCCAGGCCTGGGTAACAAGAGCGAAACTCCGTCTCAAATAAAAAAAGGAGTAAATGCCTAAAACTATGAACATTAGAAAACAAGTAGGGAGGGCTATGAAATGACAAGTGTCTCAGAAATTTGGAAGGTATCATCCCAAAGGCTCAGACAGGTGCTTTTCCTGCCTGCACTTGGAAACAGACCTTCAATACCTTTCCTGAAATAAGAGGTAAGTCTTTCCCTTGGGAGTCCCTACAACCTCTCTCAACTAGTTCACTTCTCTCCTGCTGCCAACATGAGCAATCAGCCCTAAAACTCCCAATTCCTTAGAGCTCCTCATGGCAAGCCCTTCACACCTGACACCCTCCCATAATGGCCAATAGCCCATGCCTGTGCCAAGCACCAACCAAAATACTACACTGAGTTCTATTCTTCATGTTCCTGGTCCTGTCTTCTAAACAGGGTGGGCCCCTACAGCAGCAAAGCCTGGCTTTCTAATGTGCAGCTTCTAATTTGCTGAAAACTTAGCACAGATAACTAAAAACAACCCTATTTGCCTAAAAAGTATTTTATCCTTCAGGATCTATAAAACCTTCATCTCCTCTACAAGTTTCCCTGCCTTCCCATCCTCCGAATCTGTATCTGTAACTGTTTCCACAGTGCATCAAAAAGACATCTCTATTACTGCCCTGATGACTTTCACATCAGACCTGTTCTTACATGTGTCTAAAGAACAGTTCCTTGAAAGCAGGCCCAGCTCCTTTCCCATCACATAGTGCAGCAAGCATTCTTTCAAGGTGGCCTGGGTTTAATATGTAATATAAAACATAAGATAATGGGTTAAAGATCAGGCACTGTGCTAGGTACAAGATTTCCCTGTTATCTGAGGGGAGCTCTTCTCTGAGTAGTCTGTTAGCTAGCTTCTCAATACACAGACACTCTGTGATATTTATTTTGACTGCCTGGAAGCCAACTAACTTCTGGTTCTCAGCTGCACTGTGAAAATATGAAGTTGCCAGAGAGCTGAGATACAGACAGCAATAGTATTAAATACAGTCACATTAAAACCAAGTGAAGAGCAGAGACTTGCGACCTATTAAGAACCTGTACTTAATAATGTTCATATCACGCTACGCAGTCTTCAATCTCCCCTAGTATTCAGTTGAACCAGTTAATGATTACCTGGCTTTGATTAAGTTCTCTTTTCATAAAGAGCAACTGCAAAGTACCATAAATGATGTTTAGGAAAACCAGACACACCAGTGGCTCTTGGAACTGGAGTATTCCTCCCAGGATAACAAACAGGAAGCCTCAGGAATGCTTGCCCGCAACCAACCTTACCCAGTAAGATCTGGTTACAGACCTGCAGTATCACACTCAGGTATGTTTCTCCAGGCTTTGGCTTTCTTTGACCTGCCTGATATGCAAAGGGCCTCAGCTATTTAAAGCACTACATTAAAAAATCATGTTTTTACTCTGACCCAAACCCTGGTAGGCTCCAAGAACAACAAAGCAGGACTTACTGCCATTGTCGTCAGAATCCTCACTGCTGCTGGGAAGGCGACCTCGTTTCATGATCTCCCCGGGAAACAGCAGGCAGCCTGCAAAGCAATGAGACAGCACTTAACCCAAGATGATAATACAGAATCATCAAGTTGTGCTTCAGATGGCAGCCCAGGATTTACAGCAAACAAAAGGCTTTAAGTAGCATTTGAATTGTAAACAGTAAAAAGACCAAAGACACATAATTTGGTGCAATCATTAACAGACCAGGTTTAAAAAGGAGGGGGAGGGGTAAAGAAGTCACGTATCAGTAGGTCTCCCAAAGGTGCCAGGTCTCTTTCTATATTCCTGTGTCATTATTACTATAACTACTCCAGGGGTCTTTAGCTGACTGGCAGCAAGCACTGCAGAAAAAAAAATCCACAGCAATGGACACTGTACTGTGCTTCCTCACTACAGACAGATTCATATTTTATGCGAACATGTGGGGGGTGGGGTGGGGTTGTGCCTGGATGTGTGAATATTTACACTGCACTGGGCATAATTACGCTTCTCAGGCAAATTTTGCTAAAACAACCCTAAAAGCCAAAAGAAACAAAACAAATGGAGTAATGGGAATGCAAATATCTCCTCTAGCCACCTCCAACCCCTCAGCAATTTACAACTGGAACAGGAAGGGACCATAGACATTATACAATTCTGATCCAGATCCCTCCCCTTCACATTAAGAAACTAAAGCCAAGAAAGGTTAAGCAGCAACTTCCCCAAGGTCATGTTCTGGGAATGGAGATTCTAATTCCAAATCCAATACTATTTCCACTCCACTTCACTTCAACTCCCTTCAGGACAAATACAATCAAATCTAGCCAAAATAAGAAGTCAGTTTGTACAAAGACCCAGTGCACCTGGCCAACTCCTCCCAGGTAGCTGGTGATAACAGAACTCTAGCACTACCCTCAAGCAAGAGAAAGGCCTTCTTAGGTAAGAAGGCAGTGGGCTTAGAATGGCCAGTCAATGAACTTACACAGATGATCTCACCATTACGTTCACACAGGACAGCTCTCTAAACAAATACAAAAACCTTTTCCAAATTAAAATTACTAATTAACCTGACATCTTTTTGGGTTTTTCACTTCTTTTTGGTAAAGTCTCTCTCCCCTTACCCCTACTTCGCACATAAAAATATCAGTATCAGTAAATCAGTTTGCATTTTCTCTTGTAGTGTCTTTTGTCATTTTAATTCAGACTCACATAAACTGAACCTTAAAAAAGTAGATGAAGTTTTTTCTGTACTACACTTATAAAATCAATCTACACGATTCATCCATTCAGGTCCCTAATCTATAACTGCAATATTTTACATATATATACATGTAAAAAAATATATATATATATATATATCACACATACACATGGTTTCTGCTTTTTCAGAAGAAGTCTCACTCTGTTACAGCCCAGGCTGGAGTGCAGTGGTGCAGTCTCAGCTCACCACAACCTCCGTCTCCCAGGTTCGAGCGATTCTCCTGTCTCTCCTGAATACCTGGGATTACAGGCATGCACCACCACACCTAGCTGATTTTTGTATTTTTAGTACAGATGGGGGTTTCACCATGTTGGTCAGGCTGGTCTTGAACTCCTGACCTCGTGATCACCCCGCTTTGGCCTCCCCAAAGTGCTGGGATTACAGGCATGAATCACCATACCCAGCCTATTTTATATTTTCTTCCTCAGAAACTCACCCAGCTAAAGTCTGTGGGGTTTTATCAATTGATTCTTTAAAAGCCATTAAAACAATGTACCAAGAGAGAGCCTGGACATGAGTCCTGATCAATATGGGTCATGAGCTATGTTATGGACATACTTTGGAAACTGGGGTTTCGTGCTGTAGGCATAGTCAAGTCCTAAAAGCCACTCCCATCCCTTTTCCAAGAGCCCCACTCAGCATCCATAACCAGGCAATCTACAGCTTGGCCTGGGGCAAGCCCACTCCAGGCCTCAAATTCCATGACCAAGAAACACCTGTGGCCCACTCCCTATTGGACTGTCTTCTCTGCCCTATGTGTGCCAAAAACACCAACTGCACACAGCTAAGCTCTCCAGCCTTCTAGAGAAGGTTCCTCTGGCTCCTCCCCTCAGGATCCAGCAAGATGGAAAAGGGAAGAGGGAAAGGCAAAAGACTACTCATTCCTAACAGCTTCAGCTCCCCAAAGCCTACATTATAAAACAGCATTAAAAAAAAAAAAATTGGTACTACACTGATCATGGTGTCTCACACCTGTAATCCCAGCACTTTGTGGGGCCAGGGCAGGAGGACTGCTTGAACCTAAGAATTGAGACCAGACTGAGCAACATAAGGAGACCCCTATCTCCACAAAAAAATTTAAAAATTAGCTGGGTGTGGTCGAGCGTGGTGGCTCACACCTGTAATCCCAGCACCTTGGGAGGCCAAGACAGGTGGATCACCTGACGTAAGGAGTTCAAGACCAGCCTGGGCAACATGGTGAGACCACCCCCATCTCTATTAAAAAAAAAAAAAAATTAGCTGGGTGTGGTGGCACATAACCTGTAGTTCCAGCTACTCAGGAGGCTGAGCCAGGAGAATCACCTAAGACTGGGAGGTTGAGGCTGCAGTGAGCTGTGGTCATGCTCCAGCCTGGGTGTGAGAGTGAGACTATCTCAAAAAAATAAAATAAAAATAAAAATAAACTATATGAAGAGGAATTCCTTAAAAGTAACATTGTGATGCAACACAGTAAGACTAATGAAATGTGAGACCTTGTAAGAGGGTGGGAGAGTTATGAGAAATGAGGGTTTGAGAAAGCTCATAAAACACTTCCTAGCTGGAAATAAGAAAACATCTTCATCGATTCAGACAACTTAAATTTACCTAAATAGAGTTGCTTAAAGAAGTTAAGAATCTTTTTAAATCAAAATGCTTACTTCCCAGCTTACAAACACAACTCCCTGAGAAAGCACTTCAACAGTCACTAAATAAAAAACAAGAGCATTGGCCAAAATAGAATGATGTACCTAAACACACATAAATACTCTCTTTAGCAAAATTATTCAAGTAAAAGAAGAGTAAAAATAGTATTTTCCTTCTAATGAAATCCATTTTCATCCACACTGAAGATTATGAGTAATGAGGGTTGAGAATGCCGTATTTGCTTCTCCAGGGAACTTGGCACAGTAATGGGGGTTAGTGCTCGGCAGAATTTCCTCCTCTGTGGCTCTAATGTACTTATATCTTGACATCAAGCTGATTTATCTCACCCAGGATTACTTACTTTATCAGAAAATCAAAATACAAGTTAAGCTATACAATACAATGGTTGTATGCTGCAAATATCTGCCCCACTAAAAGCCAGCATCATCATCACCTTTCCTGACTCTTAGGGCAATGGCTAATTACTATCTAGATGGTAGTAAGATAAGCAGTAATCAATTAAAATGGCTACTCACAACACCCCAGAGAAAGCAGCAAGAAGATATAATGGCACATAATGCAGCCAACAAACATCTGAATATCTCACATACAAGGAGGTGCTGGAAGAAAATTAGTATCCCTGACCTCATTGAGCTTCTGGACTAGTTGAGGAGACAGACAAGCAAGAGAAATTCAGTACTGTTTGTGCCTGGCAGTGGTAAATGCAGAGTTCTCCAGGAACACAGAAGGTGGGATAAGAGTCAGAGGAGGCTGATAAGACTGAGCTGGGTTCTGAAGAACAAAGAGGAGGTAGCCAGAAAAAGGATCAGGCTGGTCTTGAACTCCTGAAAAAGGAGCATATTTGGGACAGAGTACCATACTTACCAACATACGTATAACACAGTGTATTATGCTGGGTAGCATCTTCATACTCAAAATCTTACTTTCTGCCCATTTTTTTCTTAGTATACATCCATTCTTACCTTACAGCCAATTGCCAAGGTTTACTGATTCATAATATTATGACTCTTTGAAGTTCCTGTATGCCCTGTGGTTTGTCCTTCAATCACTTATACCTAGAAAGCTTTAAACACCTCTTCTCCACACTATGATTTCTTACCACTTCCAATTATTACTACAATAAATTAATTACACCCCATGAGATGAACTCATCAAACTACCATATGTAGATCTATCCCTCCATTCCATACTACAAATAGGTCTAAATCCAAACTGTTCAGCCAAAATGAAGTTTCCTGACTTCTCGCAGCTTTACTCAGGCATCTGTTCTAGCAAGCCGCAAAGCCCAGAGCTTGCATTGGTTGGGCCAGGCCCCTTCCCTGAACACTAGGCTTCTTTCAGTTCTCATTCTCTGCTCATGCTGCTTCTGTTGCTCCTTCCTCCCTACCTATCCTAATCCCACCTCTTTTCTGGGGCTCAGTTCAAAGCCAATGAACATCATCCAACACTCCAACTCCAAACATATACTCTGTACTACTCAGTTCAACTTTCTTCCTCTTTCAGAACTTTTCACCTTGCTTTCCAGTGTGCTGTTACCTTAATAGTACCATTGAAAAACATTACTCACAACACTTGCTAGAGATGGTAAGGCAGATTTTACTCAAGGGGGACCATGGTAGGTACAGAGAACACTGTGATGGGGTCTTGCAGTGGGGGATGGAGACTGAACCCAACTCAGATTCCAACAGAGGTGGAGATATAAAACCAAGAAGCAGGGTGGGACCAGAGGATAGAAGATTACTAAACAGAAATATCAAGGATAAGGGGTTTATGGTGACATTAATTTGATAGTATTATTATGGAAGACAGGATAAGATAGGAGAGACTGGTCAGACACCCAGGTGAAGAATTTTCCCTAAACTGATTTTAACAGGATATTTGCTTCAACTGGATTCAACAAAAAGAGGGAAGCCCAAGGTAGTGCCCATTCACTCAAAGGAGCAGAGGAGCATAACCAAAGTCTTGGTCAAAGAAGTCTTTCTCAGTATTCAATCAACTACTGCCTTGCTTCATGTATGTGTCTCTAAAGATGGCAATAATTTCTAAAGAACACATTCTCTCAAATCAAATATGAAATAAACACATAACAGAGGGCCAGGTGCAGTGGCTCACACCTATAATCCCAGAACTTTGGGAGGCCAAGGCAGGCGT